TAATCGTTAGAATCACTTTGGATAAAAGATATAGAAAAGATCAAGATAACAAGTTCATGAGTTTAAATAAAAAAAATATAGAAAAGATCAAGATGACAAGCTCAAATTTCCAAAAATCATTTTTTTTCGAAGGGACATAATCCCGACAAAGTTAGCCACTATTAAAGTATTACCTCAATGCTGGCCGTTTCAGTCAGCATAATGTCCTTTCGAGAAAATGACCAAAGTAACCGTTTTTTTAGAGGGAAACCAATAAAATTTTGTACAAGCACATGAGATACACATGATTTGAAACCTGTGTAAACACATGGTAACTGACAACTACGCTATCGAACATGGTTTCATATGAACCTAAAAAGAATGGTCGCCAAGAAGGCTCGTATAGAGGGGCGACAGCAGTCTTGAGTTATGCAGCATATAGAGCACCTCCTACAACGAAGCCTAGAAAGGCAAGGACCTCAGACGAAGAGACCGTGAAACTACTCGAAAACGGTTGCCAATCGCAATATCCGTTAGAGAGAAGTTCGAATCCCGTAACTTCTGGTCAAAGGAATAGTTTAAGTAGGGTTAATTCTCTCGATCAGAGTCCAAGATTGTCTTACGCCCAAGGGATTCCTAAATCTCAACCTGATACTGCATATAGACAAACTGTTCCAATTTATCAGCAAACAGAGTTCTTATATCAAGATCCACATTCATATCAACAACCTCAGCAGTCTTCATACGTTCATCGTAAAATTCCTACCTCCAAAAGACAATTGACACCTAATAGTATGTTTTCTTTATTTTCTTTTTTAAAAAAAATATGATCTTTTGTTGTTAGTCATATTCATTATGATATACTTTAAGATCTTTATATTCATTATGATATACTTTAAGATCTTTATATTTTAAGATCTTTTTAAGATCATATATATGTGTATTTATAAATATTATAAATTTTCAATAGGTACCCCTTCAATTCATTTTTATTCTGATTCAGAAGACTTTCGGGAGGGCTCTAAATCAAAAAATTATCGTAATCATCGCTCATCCATTGACCCATCAACATTATCCTCTGGGTCGGAAATATCAAGCACTCCTTCGTCGCCTTCAAAAGTAGTAAAACAGCAAGTTTCTGTTGTTAATCCTGCTCTGCTATCAAGAGTTTCAGAGTCATTTCGAACCCGTATTATTCTTTCAAATAGGATGAAAGAAAATCTTGAATATAAAGATTGTTTTGATGGAAGAGAAGCCGTGGTATTATTTGATTTATAATTATATTGAATCAAGCTTGTTAAATTTTTAAGCTTGTGTTTCAATGGTGTCTTTACAATTTCTAAGCTTATTACTCTAATTTCTATTTCAAAGGATAAAATCGCCTTTATTATCAAGACTACTGATAGAAATTTAGCTTTATTACTCGGTCGTGCTTTAGACGCCCAAAAATTTTTTCATGATGTAACATACGATCATCGACTTCGTGATTCACAGAATGAATTATATCAATTTAGAAAAATGCCTTCAATTTTATCATCATCCGATAATTATAGCTTTAAAAAAAATGAGAAAAAAGACTCTGAAGAAACTGACCTACCAACTGGAGTGTTTACACTATTAACCGACTGTTACTCTCCTACATGTACAAGGGATAATTTATGCTACAGCATTGCCTGTCCTAGAAGGCTGGAACAGGTATGTATTTGTATAACAGATAATATTCACTTGGTCAAATTGTAAATTTGATGGTTTGTGTGATTTTGAAAATTTTAATAATATGAATGAATACAGCATGCAAGAAAACATATGAAACCAAATCCAGACCTTAGTCGCTCAACTAGTCGTGGATCTATAGCTGATAGAAGAAAGGTATTTATGTTTTTCAGGACTGTCTATACTTTGTTATTAACTTTTTTCAAAAAAATATATATTAACCTTTTTAAATAAATGAATAAATAAATAAATAAATAAAAATATACATATCTATATATATATATAAAGGATCAAAAATTGTGGATCCATACCGTTCCTCCTGAAATCGCTAATTCCGTTTCTGAGGCTGAAAAGAAACGTCAAGAAGCTATAAACGAATTAATTTATACTGAAAAAGATTTTGTTCATGATATAGTGTATTTAAGAGATGTATGTTCTATTCAGTGTTTAGATTTTATATTTTATATTATGTTAAATTCTATGTATCTATGTATGATGGTCTTTAGTGTTGGATGAAGCCTCTCTTATCTCAAAATATAATTCCTGAATTTCGGCGTAAGAAATTTGTAGCTGACGTTTTTCATAATATAGTGGATATTTATTCCATCAATTCTAAACTTGGCGATGCGCTCCAAAAACGGCAAAATTCATATGCAATTGTTGGACAAATTGGTGATATACTAGTAGAACATGTTCCAAAATTTAATCCTTTTATAGAATATGGTGCACATCAATTATGGGGGAAA